TTTTTAATAATATTTTATTATTACAGTATTGATAAATTTTATAAATTTTAACTCCGCCAAATTACCCTCTTCTACCTTATACAAATATCTACATATTTATACATAAATGTAAATAAAATATATTCACAGATTATGAAATGAAAAGATTAGGTAAATACAAAAGATGATAAATACAAAAAGATGTATACAAAATACTCTATAACTAAAGAACTATAAAAGGAGGGGTAAAATCAGGCATATACAGACATACACAAATCTACAAGTTTTTAACTTCTTCGATCAATGTATCAACTATATCTAAAGTACTTAAGTCATCTAAGGAGTCAGTTTGACCTTCCACAATTTTTAACAAAATACTTCTCATTATTTTTTCACTTCTAGTCTTTGGTAGAAACCTTTTCTGGTGCAACAAAGGGCCAATAGATTTACGTACTTGCAAGATTAAATATTTTACATTAATATAATCACTATTTGGTTTCAAAGTAACAAAAGCAAAAGCTTGCACACATTGTCAATAGCTGCAGCTTCAGTAGTCACAGGATGCATTATTAAAGCGGATTCGATTTCTTAAGTTGATAATCTGTGACCCGATATATTAATAACATCATCCACACGTCCACGAATCCAATAATATCCATCATGATCTCGGCCAGCACCATTACCTGTAAAGTAATAACCTTTATAGAGTCTCATATAAGTATCAAGATATTGATTGTGATTATTGTAAATAGTGCGTGCCATTGATGGCCAAGGTTGGCGTATGGCCAAAACACCTTCTGCTTCGGTTGTTTCTATCTCTTCACCGGTATCCGGATTCAGTATTGCAAGGGCAATACCAAAGAAAGGAGGTAGCCGAACCGGTCTGCCGATAAGTGTCAATCACCGAACAAACATTCCGACCGACAACCTCATTACAGTCAACCCTCCCTAAGTGCACCCCCCTTGGGATCATAGGCAAAATTTTCAAAAATATGCATTTAGAGAGGTGTGCATTTACAGAGGGCATTTTATTAAGAGTTCTATATGCTTGGGAATGAACATTAGCGTGTATTTAGAGAGTGCATACATAGTCCGTGCATTTATGGGGGGTGCACTTAGGGAGGGTTGACTGTATACCATTCCCAAGCATCAGGATTGATAGGTTCACCAGCTGTATCGATGACTCTTAAACTTGAAAGATCATGAAGATCTACGTATTCACGGCCAAATTTATGTAATAAATGAATAGCAGTTGGTGCGGTATAAAATTGTGTAATCTTATGCTTGGCAACAACTTCCCAATATCAGCTTGGAGTAGGATATATAGGAGTTGATTCAAATAATACCGCCATTTGCCAAAGGACTATAGATAATAGGAGAATTTACAAATAAGGGCCCGGAAAGTGAAAATAATTACAAATACGGGCCCAAATTAAAAACCTAATTTTTAAAAAATATTGCATATAAGGGCCCAAATCTATTGATGGCTGGAAAATGGATCACAGGCTTGATTGCAAAATTGCAATTATAGGAATATCGATTGTTTTATTATAGACATTTAGAGTTATCTATATACTGATTATTAGATAAAAGGATAAATAATCATTTTCGCACATTTATTCATAAGGCGAAGTTTAAACAGAGTAGCTCTCTAAAGCTGAACGAACATCCTCTATATTAGTAAATGTCATGCCAATTCGCAATGTTTACTTGACATCATAGTGGTTTGTTATAACAATAAGCAATTTCATACAAAGAAACTTAAATTTATTAAATTTAAAAAAATTTCCTTACATTTCTTATACTAATAAAGATCAAGTATACGTGAATAGCGTCATGGTTATTTTGGGCCCTTATATGTAATTATTTTTAATTTGGGCCCGTATTTGTAATTATTTTTACTTTCCGGGCCCTTGTTTGTAAATTCCCTTAAATAATACAATTATGACCGGTTATCCAACCAATATCACCTTCATTATAATCAAAAACAGATTTAAGAGTAGCTGCAGCATTTAATAAGTAACCTCCAGTAGTGTGGATGACACCTTCTGGTTTACCAGTAGAAACAGAAGTATAAATTATGAAAAGAGGACCCTCAGATGGTCGATTAGTTGATTGGTTGATTAATCGATTAGTTAAGTATCTGGTATCTAGTGTTTGGACTCGAATCAACTCGTAGGTTAAAAATATAGTCTAGACTCGAGTTAATACTATGTTTTTTAAGCTACGAGTTGATATCCTTGTATGTACGTATCGCCAAACTTGGGTTATGTTACGTCGATTTTCTCTATAGGATATTTATCCGATGGCAATTTACTAACAATATATACCTGCAACTAACCAATGCTAACCCTACCCCACGTGATGTTGGGTTAGCTGTAATAAACGGTCTTATGTGACAACCCGTGCTTTTTCATTTACTTATTGGCACGGGATTGTTACGTCAGACACCGTGCAATAACTATAATTTATTTGAAATCAACTGTTGATTTTGAATTAGGTAGAAGAGGGTAATTTGGCGGAGTTAAAATTTATAAAATTTATCAATACTGTAATAATAAAATATTATTAAAAA